ATTCCCTGTAACTCATTCCTTGTTCCCTCCCACAGTGCAGTCACTCAGGAAGATACCAGCTGCCGTGTCACAAGGACATGTCACTTCAGTGGTTCTGGAGAGGTCCACACAGTGAAGAGCTGAGGCCTCCTATCCCCTACCATGTGAATGTACTTGGAAGCAAATCCTCTGACCCCAGTCAAGCTTTCAGATAAGTATAGACCTGGCAAACAGTCTCATGGCAACCTCAAGAGAAAGTGGCTTTCACGTTCCTCACCTTCAAAGACTGAGAGATCCCAAATATGTATTCTTTTAAGCCACAGGTTTTGGAGTAATTTGTTTTGTAAGGGATTCGACTCCTTTGAGCCTCAGTTCCCCGTCTGTAAAAAGGTTATAATAATGGGGGCTACTGTATAGGGTTGTTGTCAGGAATATACGAAGCAGTAGTATACATCAATTACTTAAAATGGTGAGACATGCACATTAGTTGCTATCACATTTACTGCTTAGTTGCTTCTAAAAGTACTCATGCCAACCTATGATGGTCTCACTTCCTTGAGTTCTTCATCTGGGAGTACATTTCCCCAGAGAATGTCAGGTTAAGAATGTCATTTCCCCAGAGAATGTCAGGTTAATTGCCAAGACAATTCAATGGCGGAAGAGTAGCTTTTTCAACAAATGGTGCCACACGGACTGGTTATCCACATGCAAAAGAATGAAGCTGCACCCCTACCTCACTCCATATATAAAAATTAACTTGAAATGGAGCCAAGACCTAAAATTAAGAGCTAAAATTATAAACCTCTTAGAAAGAAACACGGGCATAATTTTTTGTGATCTTCGATTAAGGAATGGTTTCTTAGGTAGGACACCAAATGCACAAGCAACCAAAGGAAAAAAATACAAATAGGACATTATTGAATTAAAAGCTTCTGTGCTTCAAAGGTTACCATCAAAAAAGCAAAAAGAGAGAATGAATGAAATTATTTGCAAGTCATATATCTGATGAGGTTCTAGTTTTTGGAATATTTATAAAGAACACTTAAAACTCAATAGAAGACAAATAACCCAATTTTCAAATGGGCAAATTATGTGAATAGACATTTCTCCAAAGAAGATATATTCTGGAACACCAATAGGTACATGAAAAGATGCTCAATACTATTAGTCATCAGGGAAATGCAAATCAAAACCACAAAGAGATACCCCTTCACACCCACTAGGATAGCTATAATCAGGTAGACAGCTAATAACAAGTATTGGCAGAGATGTGGAGAAATTGGAACCTGTATGCACTGTTTATGAGAATGTGAAATGGTGCAGCCACTCTGAAAAACAGCCTGAAAGTTCTCCAAGTGGTTAAGGCTACAGTTAAAATTCCATCCCTAGGTACATAACCAAGAGAATTGAACACATATACTCATACAACACTTGTACACAAATGTTCATAGCAGTGCAATTTGTAATAGCCATTAAAAGAAACAAAGTACTGATATGTGCTACCCATAGTTGAAATTTGAAAATGTGCTAAATGGAAGAAACCAGTCACAAAATAGGGAAACCTATATAAACAGAAAGTAGATTAGTGGTTGCCTAGGGCTGAGGAGGTTGGAGGTTAATGTGAGCAACTGCTAATGGATACCAAGTATCTTTTCAGGGTGAAAAAATGTTCTGAAAGTAGATAATGGTGATGATAGTTGAATGACTTTGTGAATTTACTAAGAACCACTGAATTGTATGTTTTATTTTATTTATTTTTAAAGGATTTTATATATTTATTTGACAGAAAAACACAGCAAGAGAAGGAACACAAGCAGGGGAGTGGGAGAGAGAGAAGTAGGCTTCCTGAGGAGTAAGGGGCTGGATGCGGGGCTCAATCCTAGGACCCTGGGATCATGACCTGAGCCAAAGGCAGATGCTTAATGACTGAGCCACCCAGGCGCCCCTGAATTATATATATATATACATATATATATATATATATTTTTTTTTAAGATTTTATTTATTTATTTGACAGAGAGAGATCACAAGCAGGCAGAGAGGCAGGTAGAGAGAGAGGAGGAAGCAGGCTCCCTGCTGAGCAGAGAGCCCGACGTGGGGCTTGATCCCAGGACCCTGAGATCATGACCTGAGACGAAGGCAGCGGCTTAACCCACTGAGCCACCCAGGCGCCGCTGAATTATATATTTTAAAAGGATAAAGTTGATGGTAAATTATTATATTTCAATAAAGATGTTACACAAGAAAAGAGCAAGTTTTCAGAAAGGGTGTGAAAAAATTAGTTGAGCGTTTTGGTTTTTTTTTAGGGTACTCTAGAGGTGATGAAATCCATGCATACATGTACATACACAACCACATGCACATGTGCATACACTCGTTTATTTTCAAACCAGAAACCAGAATAGGTGACTATGATACCTTCTATCTAGGGAAAGAAGACACCAGCGCTCCTCAGTACGCCCTTCCTAGGAGACAATTGTTAAACCCTTTATATGCTTAATTCACAGGAGTACTCAGTGAGGTGATGTGTTATTTATCTCCATTATATGGATGAGGCTCAGAGAGTGTACGTATCTTGCCTGGGGTCACCCAGCTGTTAATGGAAGAGCTTCTTTCTGTTCTCCAGGCAGCCTGTCAAAATGAATTAAAATCGGTTGATACTTCCCTATCTCTGCCTCTGCAATTTCTTTCTTTTTTTTTTTAAGATTTTATTTATTTATTTGACAGACAGGGATCACAAGTAGGCAGAGAGACAGGCAGAGAGAGTGGGGGAAAGCAGGCTCCCCGTCGAGCAGAGAGCCCGATGTGGGGGCTCAATCCCAGGACCCTGGGATCATGACCCGAGCCAAAGGCAGAGGCTTTAACCCACTGAGTCACCCAGGCACCCTCTGCCTCTACAATTTCAAAATTGTACCCTGGTGGCAACCTTATTTACTTCATTTCATTTCATATTCCAACCCAATCTCTGGCCAGAAAGATCTCCCCGTTCTTCCCAGAACACACCAATAACTATAATCAAAGAGAGATCAAGGAGGGGGTGTGTTGTAATCACACACTTTGCAAGCTTTACACAGATGTAAACTAGTATCTTAGCTTTTCTTTCCTCTAGAAAGTGCCTCCTTCTCGCTCTCTCTCTCTCTCTCTCTCTTTTTAAAAGATTTATTTACTTACGTAATCTCTACACCCAAGGTGGGGCTGGAACTTAGAGTTGCAAGCTCTACCACCTACGAGCCAGCCAGGCACCCTGTGCTTGTCTTGACATATGCAAAACCACAGAACCACAGAATCTTCCAAGGTTGAGCTCAGTCCCCTTCAACTCTGGGGACCTCCACACTGCAGAGTAGGCAGGAGGTTCTTTTTCCTGAATTCTTGGACACTCACCACAAAATCAGTTCCATGTCATGCTCTGGCCCAACCTGACCACCAATCACAATATTTGCTTCCCTGTGTTAAGTTCTTTTGCTTGTGTCTTTACTAAGTAATTGTTTGGTGCTCTCAGTAGTGAGGTAGTGGCTGTTTTACTTGGGCTGAACACTCAATATCTCTTAGCCTCAATTTCCTTATTCAAAAAATGGGAATGAGGGTACTTACATTGGTGGTACCCATGATTCTCCTTCCAATTCCATTTTGGGTATGTTGTGGGCAGAGACAATGCTACCTAGAGCAGCAGTTCTCAAAATGTGGTCTGGAAATCCCTGGGGGATGGAGAGGGGTTCCCTGAGGCTCTTTCCAAGATTCTGTGAGGGTTTCTCTTTTCAACTGCATACCTGCGTGAATCTGGGTTTCCTTCACATACTTGAATCAAAATAACACATCACAACAGATCGAGTGCAGAAACAGATGTGAGGCTCCAACTGTCTTCTATGAAGCAGACTTTAAAATGCCTGCCAAGATGTAAAACAATGTCACTGTTCTCAGTAATTTCTTTTTGTTTTGGAAAATACAATTTTTAAAATAAAAATATGTTAACATGTAATGACATTACTTTATAAATTAACGACCATTTTTAATATTCTCAGTTTTAATTTCTAACACAGTAATTACCAATAGATATAATCCACACAAAGAAAAGCTGGGATCCTCAATAATTCTTAGGAATGTAAACTTTGAAAAGTCTGAGAACCCTTAAGAGGGAACAGTAGCGTTCCAAAACGAGATTTTTCAGGTACCTCGGGTTCTTACCCTTACCCTGTGTTTCAGTTCCTTTCTAACACAGTTCTCATCCTTATGACACGGGTAGCTATTAATCTCTTTGTTTCCTTAATGTTTATATGTTGCATATAATGTTGTATGTTATATGTTATATGTAGGGACTGTTTCTGGAGGGATATACGAGTATACAGCTGGTACCAGTGGACCCCTCAGGAAAGAAGAATTTGGAAACTGGGAGACAGTGGTTTAACCTTTCAGCTCTGATTTTTTTTCTAATATATGGAGCATTTATCACCTACACTTAACACGGAGCAAGTAAAAGTAAAATTACATTTTTTGGATGGCTAGAAAACAGAAGTTGGCTAAAGTAAAGTGGTGCTAACCGGCAACCAGGAAAAAAAAAAAAAAAGGAAAAGCCCACCTAAGTTTCCTGCGCCTACCTTCTCGCGAGTCAGAAACACTTGGCGTAGACTTCCCAGACTAGCGTCCCGCCCGCTGGGCTTCAGTCCCACCCCGCCCGCGGTCCCGCCCCCAGCCTCGCCCCGCCCCCTGCGACGTCACCTCCGCCGACCCGCTTCCCCGAACTCCCTCTGGCTCCCGCCTTCGCCCGCTTCCGGTCGTCGTCGTCGCCGCTGCTGCCGCTGCTGCTGCTGGTGGGGCTGCTGGCGGAGGCCGGAGGATCGGGCGGCGGCGGCGGCGGCGGCTGAGAGGGCGGCGGCGGGAGCGGAGCGGGACGAGGGAGCGAGAGGAAACGAGCGAGGAGCGAGCGGAGCGCGCCCAGCCCCGCCCGCCCTTCCGCCCGCCCTTCCGCTCGCTGGAGCGGCCGCAGCAGCCCGGGCCCCCAGCCGCCGCCGCCCGCCCGCCCGCCCGCCCGCCGGACAAAGCCCGAGAGCCCGCGCCCAGAGCCATGTCCTCGTCCGCCGGCAGCGGCCACCAGCCCAGCCAGAGCCGCGCCATCCCCACCCGCACCGTGCCCATCAGCGACGCCGCGCAGCTACCTCATGACTATTGCACCACGCCCGGGGGGACGCTCTTCTCCACCACGCCGGGAGGTGAGCGCCAGCAGCCCCGCAGCGGCCCGGAGCCTGTAGCCCGTTTCCTCCGCCGCGTCCCCGTCTGCCTCCCACCGCGGGCCTTTAACTTAGGGCGTGTCCAAGCGAGGCCGCCTCGGCCCGTGCAGCTCCGCCAGAGCCCCCCTCCCCCAGCTCCGCCAAAGCCCCCGAGAGGCTGCTTTCGGAACCTTAACTTCGCATTCTCTCTTGGCTGCAACTCTTCAGCGCGCGCCCACTCGGGGAACGTGGCTCTCCTGTCGCTGGGGGGGGGCGGAAAAGCCCTTGTTCCCGTTTCGTGGCAGCTTTCTGCGCTCGACCCAGTTTTCTCCCCCCACCCCCCACCCCCGCCTCCTGGGCAAATTCGTCTTGCACTTGGCCTTGCTCTCGTTCTGCATTACCTCTGCCTCTTGCATGTCGTGCATTTGTGCACATTAATGGTTGACTTTGGAGCTCTCTCCCGGGCCTTTTTAGAAAGGAAGCTGGGCAGAGTAATTCGCTGCTGGGACTCTGCGATGACTTGTTTTGCTGCTTTTAGAACAGCAGGAGGAGGCTGGAATGCAGAGTTTGGACGCCTCGCCCAGCGTTATCCTGCTTTGACAGCATTGTTTACTTGCTGGACGAGGCCCCACGAGGGGCGGGGGCGGGGGGAGTCCCCAGGCCCAGGCTAGGGGAGAGAATGAGAGAGTGATAAAATAATATTCAAGTAATAGCCAAGGGAGAAGACGTGGGGGTAGTAGAGCGCTGGCAGCTTTAACGATAGGTTTTTGGCGGTGACGCTCTTGGGGATAGATGAGGAGGGCCATTGTCAAGAAGGGCACCCGGATCGGTGGGATTTCTCGATTCTGGGGAAGGGGCAGCGCAGGGAGAGTTTCCCCGAGCATTGCTTTTCCAAGTGTGACCAGGAACTGTTTACAAGGAAGAACACTGGAGTGGAGGTGAACCATGTTGAGTTGGTCTGGGGAAAGGGAACTCAAAGGTTGTGTGTCGGCTGACTGGGCTGTTCTCCAGAGGGAGGGGACTGGGGAGGGATCTTGTGGGACCTTATTGAAGGGGTTGGTTCTTCATTTTAACTTGGGAACTTCACGTTCTTTTGGTGTTGGGGTGGCCTCTCCCTAGAGGGTTGAACTTTGCTGGCAGCCCCTGGCGAAGAAGATGGCTAGCTTCGTTCCTGTGGGCCGGGCTCACCAGCTTGTACTACAACCAATCCGGTGCAGTTAGGCTCAGCCATCCTTGAATTGATTGCACAACAGCAAGGCCCACAGAGTAGGAAGACTTGCCAACAACAAGGGATAAAACTGAGGGGACAGCTCTGCAGATGAAACGGTCCAGGCCACTCTACAGAGGAATCCGTCCAGGACGGGGAGGGGTGGCTGCCTTGAAAGACTTTAAAATGACCCAAGCAGAAGTTCACCGATATTTTTGAATAGCTGGGCTTCAAGAGGCTTTAACTTTGCAGGACAGTGGGATGGCTTTGGTGTGGTGGCTTGCCTCACTGGAGAGCCCTCCCTCCGGACCTGATCTGTTCAAGGCCAGCCCCCGAGTATGCCGCCATTGTGCTTTCTGATGGTGAAAGATTTTGGCAGACCAGTATCTGCTCCAGATACAGTTGTCCTGAACTTGAGCTGACAGCTTTTAAGAAGTGGATATTGTTTTCCAAGGTGATAGGAAGGGGTTTGTAACTTTCTGCAGAATTCTCGGTGGCACTGGCCAGTAAATGCCCACGCTGCCAGCTGTTGAGAACATATCATGGTTTACAACTGCACTGAGCTATTACTTATGTGGGAAAGGAACTAAACTTTTAGCTATACATTAATCATTATTCCCCTTCCAGAAGAGCCATAGAAGGAGTACCTTTTGGGCGTATTTCAAACAGCCAAGCTACCTTGCTTTTAAAATAAGGGCATAGTCTTTAAGCATTGCTTTAAAGATAGAAACCTGTCTCATAGTCTGGATTAGTTCCTGAAATGCTTGGAAAGATTCTGCCGGTGATACTGATTCATTTACCCTTCCTTCCAACGTACAGTCACTACTGCTTTCTCGAATATCACTTAACCTGTCTCCAGATAGTTTCTGTACATAGTCTTTTGTTTCAGATTTAAATAGTTGTCATCTTAGCTCATCTATGATATTGAACTTATATTTATGGGTAGAGCAGATTGTAATCTTTGGATTTTTAACACGGAGACTTACATAATGTGTTTGTAGGCTACAGTACTATTGGGCTTGGATTTAATCACGATTAATTCAGTGCTGTTTAGATGCACAGTAGTTACTGATTTAATTTTTCCCCCTTTGGAAATTTTTCCCCTTCTGTGGTGGTTTGTTCATCTCTCTTGTTACATTCCTCTCTCTGCCACTGTGTAATTGAGCCAGGAAAAGATAGTTTGCTATTTGGTCTCTCCTTCAGGTACCTGAATTAATGTGATTAGGTATTTTAAGTGAGTTTTGTGGGCCTAGTGCAGTGCTTTGCACTAAAGAGAACCACAGACAAAAGAGGAAATGCGGCCCTTGCTCAGTGATCTTAAAATATTGAAGGGGCTGGGGACTGAGATTTTTTTGTTCTAGAACAACAACAGTATAGAATCCAATGCTAACATATATTTCAGGTGTGAAAACATTTGGAAAAATGATAGTCAGTAAGCTTGCGTTGGAAATCTCTACTTAGTGGGAAGGAAGGGGATTAGTATGTCCTGTCTTTAACTTCTGGAAACCTTTTGGAGTGTCATGCACATGTTGCAGCGTTCCAGGATAGCAGTTGATGTGCTCAATGCCCTAAGTGATCAGACTGGGCAGGGACATTCACAACATAGTGAACTTAGAATTTCTTCTCCTTTGAGAGTCCTTTGTTTACTGGGGATCGGAGGTTACAGCCTATCCCTTGGGAAGGTTTCTCAAAACTGCCTTCTCATGGTTTAGGAAATGAGAGGTGGGTGGAAACACACTTGCTCTGACCTTTGGATTTCTCAGCTTGCTAGAAGAGTGCTTACTTGTTTTCATTGTTGAGGAGGAGGAAGATTTTTGTTGAGTAAATTCAAGGCAAAAAAAAAAAAATGCCCTTGGATTTTATGTTTTATCTGCCTGTGGAGGAGTGAGGATGATATTTGGTTCTTCCTTTGGGAAGCTACATCTAGCCTTAATGGAAGGGAAAGTTACTGTAGTTGTCCTCACTTTTGTAACACTGTGGTTAGCTGGAAGGGACCTAATCCTTTCTTAAGTTCTGAACTTTCTCCTTCTGGGAATGTTGTGTTCTGGGAAATGAGCAGAAACAGAACTCTTTTAGCCTTTCTTTCTGCCTTTCTTATGCTGCATAATATCCTCATCAGCTATGGAAAAGTGCTGTTGCCATAACAAGAGCACCAGAGGGGAACTAACTGTGATGGTCTAAAATCTTATTCGTGCTGCTACATCTCCTCTCTGCCAACTGGAGAGTTGCTGGGATTGGTTCATTGGGTCAGAATTACCTGTCGGCCATTGGAAAGGCCTGGAAATAAAGGAGGAAGTAGGAAGAAGGGAAAATAAAAAACTTGGCGTGACCTATAATAAAATAAGAGTATTGGTGAGGAGTGCTCTAAGTTTTGACCTGGTTCCTTCCCTGGGAGATGAATAGAGGTCTATGTGGATATGGGGAAGGAAGGTCAGTTTCTGACTGTTGTGAAATTTCTAACTCCATGACCTTGGGTTGCGTTTATTCTAGGCCAAAATCTTCTGAACCAACAAATGTACTTACTTGGATGGTTTAATTTGAAGTTAATAAAATTTCTTGAATGTATATAGCATAGTCCCTGGATTCGTGATTTAAACCAAGCTACTTGGTCTTGAAGAGACTCTTAATCTTGAATGACTCAGACTTATGACTGGAGTCTTAACAATTTTATAAGAGGGGGTCTTGCAAAGGGGCACCTGGATGGCTCAGTAGGTAGAGCATGTGACTCTTAATATCAGAGTCGTGAGTTCAAGCCCCATGTTGGGCGTGGAGCCTACTTTAAAAAAAAAAAAAAAAAAGAAGGGGCGCCTGGGTGGCTCAGTGGGTTAAGCCTCTGCCTTTGGCTCAGGTCATGATCTCAGGGTCCTGGGATCAAGCCCCGCATCAGGCTCTCTGCTCAGCAGGGAGCCTGCTTCCCCCCCCCCCCACCGCCTGCTGCTTTGCCTACTTGTGATCTCTCTCTGTGTGTCAAATAAATAAATAAAATCTTAAAAAAAAGAAGAAGAAGAAGAGGAGGAGTCTTGCATAGTTTGGCTGCATTGTAGGCTTCATTGTGTGTGTAAAAATGTGCAGTTAATGTGGTGTAAGCTAGTACATCTGGTTGGAGAAGACAGCCTGTGAGTAGCAGAACTTTTTCTTGGCTTCCGAGTCTTTTGATGAACAGTGTAATATTTAAAAGATTTTTGTTACTCCATTTATAATAGAACAAAAGTCAGCTGAGAATTGCAGTCATTCACCTTATTGAATAGGCAAGGCCTAGACTTCCATTTTCAGATTTGTTCCTTGTGGAACTCCATTTTGTGAAAGCCCCTTAGAACCTGTGTTTTAACAGGCAGCAACTGTCCATCCCATGAGTGGCTAGTTTTTAAAGGTCCCCTGCACGTGTTCTCAGGCCATTCTTTGAAGGCAAAAGCTCAGAAATCCCTGAGAGTTTACTTCTAAGTAAATAATCATACAGATCTTCAGGATGAATGCCCTGACAAACAGAAGCTGTTCTAGTCATTGAGTGTTTTAAGAAAGTAGAAACTTGAACAAGCAAGGACAAATGAACTGGAGAAGGCAATTCCATCCGTGTAGGTTCCATGGGTTTTTTAGTAGACAAGACCATGTCATCCGTAAATAGTGGTAGTTGTATGTCTCCTTGTTCTTTCTGAGTGCCTTTTATTTTTTCCTGCCTAATTGCTCTGGCTAGAACTTTAAGTACCGTATTGAACAGAAGTGGCAAGATAGTGTGAAGATTGCCTTGTTTTCAGTATTAAGAAAATATCTCATCTTTCACCATTAGGTAAGATGTTAG